GTATTGGCTTTCCTTGCCTAAATCCATTAAATCCACTACTTACTCTCACCTTAATTTTTTTATAAATGAAAAAAAAAATGTTTTTCGAAAATTGTTTTTTTTTTTTCAAATAGAAAAAAAAAATGTTTTTTTCAGCACCATAGAAGACATGCGCGTGAGGATAAGCTAATAAAAAATTTATTGGGTCTAAATACAGTAATGATGAGATTCAGAAAAAGACTAGCTGACTAGAGATTTGAGAAGAGACACCAGATAAGTATTTGTACATTTGAATGGTATGGTAGTGGACGTAGGGAATGACAGTTACAGTTTATAGTTACATTATTATAGCGTAATTGGGATACTGAGTTATGAAAGTTCTGATGATCAATAATATTTTGATTTGATTGATTTCCAATTTAAAAGTTGTTAGAATAATAGACTAAAAAGAAACTGAGAATGCAAATATTTGTACTGGTTTTATTTATTAAAGACATTTGGTGCCAGATTAATTTATTATTTTCTTTTGGAGAATACTGTAGATTTTCTCTCTCTAAAAATTGAAAACACCAACTTTTACCTAATTCTATAGTATTGTCTAGCAGCAACTACATCAGCATATACATAGTTTAGGTTGATTTCAATAGTGCTTTCCTCCTCTTTCTTTTCATTCCTGTTTATTTTTTATTGTGTTTGATTAGTCATGAAGGGAATGCTGTAAAGTGTTGTCTTATACCACAGTACCTAGTAGTAAGTAGACAATATAACTCAATTTCGTAGAATTTTAACCCAAATATTGTTTAGTAAACAAAATGTTTTTTCTTCAACTGACGGAACCAATTCATCATTTCTACACATAGTATTACAGACTATTTTCTTCATGTTTTTTTTTATACCACAGTGTATAGTGGCGTTGTCATTCATTATCGGGACATTGTCACGGAGCCCGGAACTGTATTTGGATAAGTACTGTTAAAGTACAATTAAAGCTTCCTGTTAATTGTTGGCATTTCCTTAATGTTTTCCAAGACAGAGCAGTCTCATATTTCCTTTTAAATGTACTAAATGGCAAAGAACAGGTACTCCAAGCAATTGGTTTAGATAGTTTCCTTTTAATTACGGTAAAGGTTGTGGGTAAGATTCTTTAATACTGTAAACCAAGATTTTTACACTACTTCAGTAATCTTGATATTTTTATGGAGCATGACAGCAGGTTCTATACTATATTTGGTAAACTTATAGCATTAATTTAGTTTTGAAAAACATTGATCTGTAAAAGTGATTCCATTTTAGAATCTTAGCTAGAGAGTGACAAAATGTAGATTGTTTTGCTCAAGGGGTAGAAGCATGTGACTAGCATCAGGCTAAAACTTATGATCATTTTAATAGTTATCATACTGTAGTATCCTTACTGCCGCACCACATTCACTTTCATATTAATGGTACGCCAAAGAAACTGGCTTCTATTGTGGGTGCATGATGTAATCTTATGGTATAAATATCATCCATTGAATGTGTTTTTCATAAGAACAGATGTCTTCATCTGACCATTAAATATTGTCTGAAGTGAAAATAAGCCATCTTGTAGTTTTAAGTTTACATGTATACAGTACAGGTATTTAAAATTTCAGTGTATATAAATGAATATATGTTGTAGCCTATTAAAAACATTTGTGTGCTTGCAGTTTCATAATTCATTTCATTGTCTGTGGGAGTCTACAGTAGATATATTTCTTGACATTGACCTTTACATAGATGCAAATTGGAAATGGAGAAATCTTAATGCTATATATAATTAAATATATTCTATTTTCTAATTTTTATGTGTAAGTGTATACGTGTATTGAAATTATAGGAGATTCCTTTGTTTTTGTAGGTAGCTTTGATCAGTAGAGTAAGAATATTTTGATCTTTAGTTTAAATCACAGCTATGCTACCTACAGTACTAGAGGTAATGTTTTGATTAGTTAGACACTTTTGGTATTTATTGTACATCTTGTAAATATCCATTATTTGTCATTCCTGATGATGAACATAATTAATGTCGAAATATTGAATCTCAACACGATGGCTTATTATACTTCCTTTTTTTTTAGATTAATTAGTGGACCTTTTTAGTTGTTGTAATCATAGGTTATTGTAATCATAGGTTATTGTATTTTTTTCCCTCAATCCATAGTCCATTGACATGTGCCACTATCTCAGAGTTATGTATTCAAATGTTTATTCAAATGTGTCCATTTAAAAATGGAAAAAAATTATTAAGAAGTTAAAAAATGTTTATTTAAAAAAATCGACTTTCGTAATGGTAGCATGCTCAAGATAGTATATTTTGTGACAAATTCAAGAAAAGTAGAATAAGTAATAAATTATGTGTTGGTCATGATATTTGCTGTGGCTGACTAAGTGACAATTTTCTGAGATATAGTATCATAATCAATATTTCATAAGTAGACTGTTTCTAAGATTCTAAGCAATATGAAATTGTAACTGTACTGTATTTGTCCTCAGAGCTTTAGGAAACTAGCACTGAACTCTGACCTGCTGTCATGACAACAGGCAAAGATAATTCACAGTTTGAAATTTAAGACACTAAACTAGAGGCATCTCCTGTATTCATTTGTTTAATTGCTATAAAGAAGTCATTTTTTGCATTAAAATGTCTTAGTTAATTGATGGTTGTTTCAAATGAGTCATTACAATACATTCTAAGAAATAGGCCTACTGTACATGTAAGGCTTTGGTTTATAGATCGGGGTGCGAGTCTGTGGTACAATAGATAACCAATTGAATATTACATAGTAAAATTTGGTTTGTGACAACTTTACCTTAAAACAGATTTACTCTACTCTTTCTGATATTGCATGCTGGTCAAAATGGATGAGACAAAATAAATTGTCCCATCTTAACAATGTGTACTTTGAATTAGTATCCATCATGTAATGATGGATAATTCATGAAGCAGAAGTTAATCATTTTGATCCCATCCTTATTTAATATTATTTTATTGTCATTATTACTGTATTAAAGTTAATTTTAATTAGCCTTAGCAAATGCACACATAGTACTTCTACTGATAAAACACTGGAAAGAAGACATTTTTTGTGTACTACATGAATTGTCAAAGAATTTGTAACTTTATTTGAAGGTCAACCTCATAGATTAGATATTTGATGTAATTTAATTTGATACAAATAAATGGTAGAATATCTGCCTATATAAACTGTTTACTATTTCCATTATAACTTGTTAATTATATCAGATCAGAATTTGATATCAATATTGATTGAGTTTCTTATAGTATCTTGATGCATTTACTCAATCTAACATAATTTACTCAATTTATTGTTGTGATGCACTCAAATATATTTTTCCAATCTTAACTTGAAAACTGTATTGAGTAAATAATATGACAGTAGATATATTGTAGTGACCTTTAATGAAGTTTATTTAGCATCAAAGATGGTACAATGCAACTACCAATTGATTCAAGACCCCTCTAACTCCCAGACCACTCTAATTTATTCGAGACCACTTTTTCAAAGAACGCAGTAATAAGAGACAGCCATGGTCTTGAATTGGATTATGAACTGTATATTTTTTTTAAATGACTAAGGGTTGATGCCATAGGAAACTAGTTACAATGTTGAGTTAAAATCCTATTAGTGTTTTTGCTTGTTTGAAAAGCTGTATTCAATATGTTCAACCTGTAAAATATATTGCTTTCAAACAATTCATTGTTAAAAAGTGGGTCACGACAATGCCTTGGATTTGGAGGTGCCTTGTGAGAAATTTTGAATTTTGTTATCAAACCAATTTTGAACTATGTAAAGAGGTGCCTTGTTTTTTCTTAACATGAAACTTGTAAAGGTATAACTACAAAGGTTTTAAAGGTGTGGGAAAAACACAATAACAAAACAGGAATAGCAAACTTAGTACCGTAGTGAAAAGGGCAATAATAATTGCTAATTATTGAATCTAGTATTATTTTAATTTTCTGTAATATTATTTATGAATAAAAACTTAGTGTGAATGAAAACCAAAATCAATTCTTATTTTAAGATGTAAATTTCATAATGAAAACACCATTAAGTGCTATACAACTGAAAAGATAAGTATGAAACTGAAAGCATAAGAATTCAAAAGTACAGTTACAAGTTTACTACAGTATCTTAATCAAAATAAAGATTAATTAATATGGAGTACATGTAACTTGACTAAATAAATAACATTTTTCAATTAAAAAATTTTGAAAATGTTTTTAGTGAATTACTTAAGAATATTATTATTGCTCTGTCTTTTTATTTCCTTTAAGATTGAATGAAATTCGTGGAGATTGACGTGTAATAACAGTGGTCGCAAAAAATGTTGTCTGTACTGTAGCTCTGATATCTTCATTCATTGTAATCTAGGCTTTCAATCAATCAATCAATCAATCATTTTATTTCCAATTCAAAGAATTTACAACAGATAAGTAGTAAACATTGAAAATCAAAACCAAAGGAATTGGAAAAAGGCTAACATAACAAGAAGAACTTTAAGCATGTAGCCCAAATAATAATAAGAATAACAATAATAATAATAATACTGTAATAATAATAATAATAATAATAATGATAATAACAACAATAACAATACATCAATAATAATTAAAAAAATAATAAAGTAATAATAATAATATACACGAATGTTATAGAAATATTTCAATTAAGTGAATCAATAAATCGATAAAGTTAATTAAGTAGCGGATTGGTGATTATAATATATATACATACATATATATATACATATACACATACATACACAAATGATGACAATCAGTACTTATTCAATAATTGTTGCTTAAAAACTTTTTTAAAATTGCTTACTGAGTTCAGAGACCTTAGTGCTTGTGGAATGTTATTCCATATCTTTGACCCCTGGTATGATATACTTTCATTGTAGCACTCTCATTCATTGTCTGTCCACTAAGTTGGTACCAGTGAAAACCTAATTTTTATTCTGATGTATTGTTTTTTTAGGATTAAGCGGGTGATTTGTCAGATATCTTTGTTGGCGAGATGTCTAGGCGTTTCCGAACATCTAGCGGATCTTACAATGTACGCGCCAATGAGGTAGCACGAGAACAGCAGGAGCGCAAGATGCGCTGTATAATAACATTCTTGGATGATACGGAACATACGTTTGAGATTGAGGTTGGTAAACATCAGAAAAAACTTTCAAATATAAACCATTAAATTATTAATCCTCTTGTCTGTTGAAAGTGTAAATATCCTGAGTGGGCTATCCTGTGATTGGTGGAGTAGAGTGTATTGGGCTCATTTATATTGATCTGCCTAAGTATAATTATATTGAATTACTCATATGTCATAAAAAATTACATCAATCCCTAAAATTTCTCTGTGTTGTTCCTGGTCATTGTGTCCACATGCTTACAGTATGTGTTGCTGCCATATTGGTGCAGGAGTAGGCAACCCCACCAGGTACCCATTTATACTCCCAGGTAGAGAGAAGCAAAACAGAGAAAGTGCCTTGCTCAAGGCTACAAGCAAAGTGCACAGTGAGAGATTGAAACCCCTCTTTGAGGCTGGGAATCCAAACCCTTCCTGCTGTTCCAAACTACTTCCAACATTTATTAAAAATATTAAATGTTATATTATTTGGCTTTTTATTAGTATGTTTATCTTGGATAAACTATAATATTTACCCTAAAAAAGGACATTCTTTCAGACACCAAAGTTTTTCTGACACTGTTTTTTGTGTTAGTGTACACATTACTCACATGTCTAGTAGTATTACAAATCGGAATATTTAATTTAAATTCTGCGATGTTGCACTTAGTGAGGTCTTGCTATTTTTCGGAAACTTAGCTCATTTACACTAGTTATGAACTACAGTAATAACGCAATACAGACTGCTTGGCACGTCAGTACTTCCTTTAAATAATTAGCAAAAATACCGTATTGACCAATGAAAATTCTCTGTGCAAATTAATAGCTTGTATGTTTCGGGTTTATGTAAAAAATATGGGAGCTGATAAATTGTCTGACTGTTTTGCTAACTGTCAAAGTGACAAAGTACAGAGTTGTATCAACCTGTTGCTACCTGTGTCCACCTGTTCCCCTTCCTTTCCACTTTTAGATTACTCAGAAATGTGGCGTGTACTGTTGCTTTCAAGGTCATTTTGTTAGATCATTTGTCTAAGATAGCCAAATATAAAAACTTGGATTATTTATTATAATTTAATATTAAATAACTTTTGAAAGAAAGCAATAAGTTGAACCATATACTTTGTAATTAGTAGCCACAAAAAACAAAATCCTGATCGACCCAAAATTTTGAAAATCTAGAGTTGGATTTTTTTTCAAAAATGAGCCCAAACCTAAGCTTTAACTAAGTTTGAAACCTGAATTTAAATCCAGTGGTTACCATTTATCAAACATGGATGGAAAAAGAGGAACACCCATCTTAAACTCCTATAGTCCTACTCGCCTCATCACCAAATCACCAAGATAAATATAAAGTTTTACTATCAAAATTTATTTTACAATTTATAGCACATAGCCTTAAGCTCTATCCAGACTATCAAATTTTATTTGACAAAAACCAGTGACATGCCTAAATATGGTAATGATGACATCACATCATGACCATATATAGGTACAACATGACTATATATGGGCATACAATAGTTTTTTGTCAATGAAAATTTGATAGTGTGAACAAGGCCTTATGCTAGGAATTTTGTCTTGTGAGATTTTAGGGGAGGGTAGTTATTTTTTATTTGGAATTTATAGGATTTGAACCTAGGACACTGGGATTTGAAAATCCATGTTTGCATCTTTGAAGAAAATGTCGTTTCTTGAGGCTCCAAAGATGTGCAGTGACAGGGAGACAGACTAAAGAAGCAATAACACAGTATGATAATCAGTATGACTGTACTCAAGATACAACTGAAAAGGTCATCTTGCCACTATTAGTTAAGTCCTTAATCCCTTGAGTAAGAGGAGACAGGACAAAAGATGCAGAGAGGGGTGAGGACAAAAGAAACAGAGGGGTGAAGAGGAGCGATAGGAGGATATAAAGAGTTGTTGTTCAAATTAATGAATACTATCACGTTTTCTCTGCTCATTTGTTATCATTTCTGCCACCTGCAATCTTGTGGAAGTGCAGATAAATGAGCTTCCACATCTGGTTGCTATAGTAACCAATCAGTGCATGCACTGTATTTGATTTCAGGCTTGCAGAAGGAGATGGGGAGGTATGTGTAGCACGGGGGAGAGAGAGAGAGAGGTAGTGTGAGGATAATGTAGTAGAGATGTGTGGCATGAATACTGATAATAAAATGATGTGGAATGGGATGATGCAATTGTTGGTTTAAGTTTATATATCTAACAAAATAATAGGAATGGGGATATTCATTAAAAGTCTATTAGGGACTATTTTATTGAACATTATTAGGTAATTGCTATTGCTAAGATATTAAAAATCTTTTGTTTGACTGCTTGTTGGTTATAATACTTTGATTTTTCTTTCACCAGTTATTTTTTCTCTATATAAATTTTGCTTTAAATCTTGAATACCTTCTTTTTATTCTTAACAGAGGCGCGCCAAAGGACAGTTTCTCCTGGAAGAAGCATTCCGATACTTAGATCTGATAGAGTGTGATTATTTTGGGTTGAAATTTATAGACAGCGATAACACATTAGATAACAAAAGATGGTTAGACCCAACAAAGTCAATTAGAAAACAAGTTAAAGGTAAGCAATAAAGATTATTGTTTTAGTAAAAGGTGTGATAGTAAATGTGTGACCACTAATATTATCCAATGTAATTTAGAAATAATAATAATTATCCAATCTGAAAAGTAGTTTACCAATAACATGGTGAAGTCCATTATCATTATTAATAATAATAATGTGTTAACTTGTTCATATTAAAATATCATGGATGTTTTGGAAAAGATTAAATTTACATAGTAGCTTTTTCCTTTTCTACAATGGACAATTTTGAGCTTGATAGTAACACTTTTTGAAAGCTACAAAAATTTACAATAATCACTTGAAGAAGCAGCCATTTTATTTTTTTCTCCCATACCATATTTATCCTTGGTATTTAGAAGACTAAAAAACCATCTTGTAGTTTCAAGTGCATACTTGTCAGAAAGTCAAGGCATTTCAAAACAAGAAATCATACAGGCTCATATTTGTCTATATTTTATTTTGAATCTATTAACAGTTTTTTTTTGTAGAATTCACCTAACAAAATTTAAATAATTACCATTTTTTTAAAATGCCAAAGATGCTATATGAAATGCCTTGAGCTGAGAATGCCATTTAAGAGAATAGAATAGCAATAGTTTCGACTGTCGAAGTGGAATCTTATTCAAAGAATACAATGAACTAGAGGGTATCCTTCAGAATAACGTAAAAGGCATTTGTATCAAAGGCATGCTGCATCTATTTTTTAGTTTCAAATTCTATTTGAATTCTAATAGAGCGCCTCCTATCTCGTGGGGTGGTATTTTTTGCATTTCATTTTACTCTGAGAATGCAAAATCAAGGCAATCGGACCTCTTGAGTCTTACTCAAGTCTGAAGATTTTGTTTTGTAGTTGGAATGTTTAGTGAGTGCTACACAAAGTTAGTTTCACTTTGGGCTCTGCATACAAACTACACATTGTTTTTTTTAGTTCTTTATTGTCTGTATTCTCTAACATAATTTAAACTTTATCACATTAACCTTTAGCCCTATTTCTCTCAACACTAAAAGAAATCCAGTTAAATTTAATTACCTTATGTGATGTGAAGTGTACTCTGACCTAGTTTCAACTCCAAAATAACTGGTATTGTAGCATTTGCTCACAGTAAACTAAAGTTATCATAACCTAAAATGCTGTTTGAATGTGCAAAAGTATGAATTGGCATTTTCCTATACGATTTTTGTTTTCTTACTCTTATGTTTTTTAAAGGTTGTCAGAGGAAGGCGGAAAAAAAATTGTTTTCTCATTTAGATCATCCATCTAGGTGGAGAAGAAAATAAAATAATTTGAATTGAACAATTTATTATGAGGTTGAAAAATGCTTTAAATTTTTATGGAAGAAATACTGATAGCAGTGTCTTTTTTCTTTTAGATTTAATGGGAGCCTAGAGTAGTGTAATAAAAATGTATAAAATTGTTTTTCTTTTTTTTTTTTTTCCCCATTTTCTGGCCTAAAATAAAATTTTATACAGTATTTTATTCAAAATCACCGGTTGGCCGGTTCTCTAAACAAGGTATATAGATGTCCTGCTTTTAGACTCTCTAGTTTGTGCGTAACTTGTGACATGCAAATTTGATGAGCTACCAGTTGGTATAAAATGACCAGTAGATTACAGTATATGAAGTTCAATTACAATGAGTATACAAATGTCAGCATCTCTTGGCTAGGGATTTCATTAATATAGACATTCAGTATTCATGTCTTAAAATACCAATGTCATTAGTAGCGGATCCAGGAATTTATGGGCCCTAGGAGGAATTTTTACTGATAAAGGGTCTTCTCTGTCATCTTCCCTTCCCCCCTCCCTTCAAATTTGCCTCTGCTGATTATCCCTACTTTCTAAAGTTGTAAAATATTCCATCTTGTTTCCAGGTAGTAGACCATGCGTCCCCACAATAACTAGAAAAAATCCATTCCAAACAGGGCTGAAGTCTGAACAAACATTAGAATAGGTCTAACAGACATCTCGCAAGTATATAAATGCCTGGCATATAAAGAATTACATGTTTTCATTTCTTTGTATGTGTCAATAGAACACAGCTAATTTAATCCCCATGTTAGGTTAAATACTTCTAAGATTGCTTAAAGCAATATATTGTTTGTTAACCAAATAGGTAAATTTCGGTGCTATATTTACTTTTCTAATTGACAGGATAATTGAACAGTATGGTATGATGTTTGTTTATCGGTTTCTTCACAGGGCCAATGTACTTTTATTTTCGAGTGAAATTTTTTGTATCGGATCCAAGTAAATTACAAGAGGAGTACACACGGTATCAATTTGTGCTCCAGCTTCGCAAAGATCTCCTTGAAGGAAGGTGAGTTGATCATCATAGAAAAAAAAATTGCATTTTAATTACTCAAATAAACTAAGGATACTGTGGTATAATTATATATATTAAATATACGATATTTATATATAAATATTACGATTAATAATAACTAACTGGGTCCAAAAAAGTTGTCGAAGGGAGAAATAGACAAAAAAGAATGTTGGACAGATGAATTGCTTCTCTCCACCCAGGAGAGTTGGGTACCTTGTAGGTCTAAATGCCAAAATGCGATGATGTAGCTGCTGTAACATTATGGAATACTCCCCCAGGGAGCTTGAGTTTGTCTACCATCATCATCATTATTATTATTTTTTTATTTTTTTTTTATTTATTTATTTTTTTTATTCGTTCATTATTCAACAATACAAGTGAGACAAAACATAACAATCGTACATGAAAATAAAGCTAAACAACAACAAAACAAAAAAGAATATAAGTGGCTTATTATGAAATCACTTCACATGCTTGAACAATCTCTATGCCCAATTACTTAAAAATATTAAACTGCTTGTACATTGTTTTTCACAGATTCATTTATTTGATGGTGTACAGAATCACATTTTGATTTAAAAATGTATAGATTTGCTGCTGTAGATTAGATTTATTATTAACTCGGAGAATAAGAAAGGAAAGCATAGGATAAAGTGGGTTGAATTAAAATGACCTTTTTTTTTAAGAGAAAAAATGATATTCAGACATACTGGTACAGTATTAACTTAGTCTGGTATCATACCACTAAACAGTGGTTGTTGGTACTTGGGAAACAAATTCAATCAGACATTTTGCTTCATTTGAACACAGACCCATTTGAAGTAGTTTGAAAAAGGAATATTTAACCCAGAAATAGTGACCTACATATTAATAAACTACAGTACAACATTAGTTTATGTGAAGCTTAAATTACAACCCACTGGTTGACTATCATTTTTCATATTTGGTGTCTTAATTTTGTAGTTTAAATTCTTCTTGATTATGAAATTAATCATCTTTAGATAAATTGGATTTTTGTTGTTGGGCAAATAAAAAAATCTGTGTGAGAATTTTGTGTCATATGTTGATGCATAACATGTTGAGGATATAAAGCATGACAGTCTATTATCCTAAAAAAAAAACCTGGTTAATTTGCATTTGATTTAAATGGAATAGAATTAACCTACATTTGTGAATTGTGATTACGTTGTCAACTAATAATGTTTTTAATCGGGAAAAATCGATGGATAATGGGCTGAGACAATTATTAGCAAATATAGCCTGAGAGGATATGTCGTAATCCAGCAAGTAAGATAAAATGTATAATTTTTAAATAAAAATTCTATTGTTTCCTTAATAATTTAAAATAGAATTTGAGGTCCTTTTATTGTACAGGTTTACTCCCTGAAAGTACTAAAGATGATCATACATTTCTTCAGACCAATGTGCATGTATTCATTGTTTTTAATTTAATGAACAGTGGTGGATCCAGACATTTTCCGGCAGGGTTCTGATAGTGATAGGGGTCTAAACTTATGCCGCCTAGAGGCCCTGCTGAAGGTAGATAATATCAGTAAAGTAACTACAACAACAATTAACTACAATAACAATAATTTTGATTGGATGAGCAAGAGTATATTTATTCCTGGTCTTAAGTTGAGTCCAATGACAGGGCTTAATGCTTGTCTGATGGGGAGGATTTTCACCCTGATCGCCTGCTGCTGCCACCACTCTTAACAAAACATAGCCATGAAGTAAGCCTAACAGAGAAATGAGAAGAAAAAAATAAAACAATGCAGAAGAACCATACCACTTCACCATTCCTCCTGCAATTAAGGCCTACAGTATAAAGGTATCACGTAGGCATGCACAATGAGTAGGCGGTATGTGAACAGTGTAGGCGACTACTGACCTAGTAATAATATTTGTGGTTTTCTCTAATAAATATTGCGAAACTAATGGAAACAATTATATGGAAATTAATTCTCATGAAAATTTAAAGGATTTTCCAGGATTCCATCCTATTGCTTTGAGTTCGGTTGATCATGTAAACCATAGGTCATTTAATCCATTCATACCGACCCATAAAACAAGTAAAAACATTTACCAAAATAGGTTATTCAGCAATGTGTATGTATAATGTAGCTCCAGAATACCTTAATGTGTGCTGTACCTTTTGTGTAGAGTAGTTTCATGCCAACTGAATTCAGGTTAATAAAAGAACTCTATAGAATGCAATGTGTCCTTATTTGGTGTAATTTCTAAAAGGTAAAGCGAATGTAGTAAACTGTTGGTTATTCAGGAACATACAACTATGATTTTATCTTGTATTGTAAAGTTTGTAAAATAGAGGCCTTAATCTTATAAATGAACTATATGAAAGCTGAATTATTATTGATAAAACAAAATATAAATATAGTTCTGAAACATAGAATATAAAAGCAAACATTTGCCAAAATAACAATAACCTTTGTTAAACCGAAACATAGTATAAAATAAAATCCAAAATGAAACTGAATTTTATATTGAACAAAACCCTGCACAGATAGCTGTTGTTTTCAATGGTTAAATGAGCCACTTCAGAAGTTCCTGAAGTTTTTTTTAAAGTGCTACAGTATTATTATTTCCTGTATTCTAAACTAATTAGAATTTATCTTTTCTTCCTTAGCTCATTAGTTTGTATTAAAGAAACAGTCAGATTTAATAATATAGTAAAACTTCAAACTGGTGACCAGTATTGACCTAAGTATTACCTAAGTTTTAATAATAATTTTACTGTACAGGTTTAATTAGTTTAAGTTCCACTTAAAGTGGCTGGCTTTACAGATAATTAAGTATTTTCCTGGAGGACGGCATCACACTTTATTCATCGCAACCCACTTTTTTAACCATGTGTTGTAAATATTGTTGACTTTGAACAAAGTGTCCATTACCATGAACTGTATTTAGCAGTACTGAATATATTTGGACACTCACTCACTCACTGGTTTAAGAATACAGGGACAGACTCTGTAAAAATTTCTAAACTCATAGATAAAAATGTTCCTTTAATTATGCTTAGCACAATAAGGGGTTTTCATTCAGGAGACAGTTACCTTGCATATCTGTAATACATTCTTTGGCTTGGACTTATTGTGAGGCTCATTAAAGTCTTTATTAATATCAATATAAAAAGTTCACCGCCCTTTTGTAGTAAAATTGTAAATTGGATCATTATAATATGACTGGTTATTGACATGTACATGATAATCTACAGTAGGTCACTTGGAAGACAGATGAAATCTACATAAAGAGGGCATGCATTTTATTTTTTAACATTCCTGTGGATAATCTTCGCCTTTTCTGTTTATATTTAATTGTGATGGTATAAACTTACAAATTCCTACAGCGAGATAATTAAACTCTTTAAAAAAAAAACACAGAACCTTCAATTCCTCCAAAGTTTCAGATGTATACTGTTCATTTCATTTTCATATTTTCTATATAAACAATATCATTTTTTGCTGTATTCTTGTTAATTATGTTTATAAAAGATACAAAAAGAAAAACTTTAGTGTCTAAATGTCTACAGATAAATAACATAGACATTTTGACATCTGAGAGTCTCCTTCTGTATCCATTTTTAAGGAGAGACTCAAGACCTACCTTTATCAAACTTTTTAATTTTCCATTTCTGTTGTTTACCTTTTTTTTTTTTTGCTTACTTCCATCGTTTAGTTTTTCTAGTATAGGCTAGTCGAGACGTCAACATCACTTGAGCATCTGTGAGTTATGATCCTGCAAACCACTGCTTGCCAGTGGTTTCGAATTGTTGGAAAACGGTGCGGTGATGTTGGTTCCCCTGCGATAGTCTGCTTCTGACGTTTTTTATTTTTAGATCGCTTGGTTAGACTTTAGGATCTAGTTTTTGGTTTGTTTCTTTTGTGTAACTTACAGCGCATAGAGACCATGTAGTATGCACTTTACAAATCCCAAACCATTACCATTACCATTGATGTAAGTTAAAACAATGAAATAGAATAAATATGATTTAGGTTTAATTTATTATGACTAAAGTTATATTATTTTGAAGTTAATGTAAGATTGTTCAAGAAATCTTGTATCAGTAGCTCCTACAGTATTTCAATCTGTATCTTTATAGCAATCAATGTTGTTCACCTGCCTCATTAAGTTTTGATTCATTTTTCTTTTCAGGATAATCTGTTCATTTAATATTGGGACTCTGTTAGCATCTTTTATAGTACAAGGTATGTATGATATTTCATTGTAATTACATTTATGGGTGTTTTTCCATCTGATGTTAAAATAGTTAAAAGTCAGATGTACACAAGCATATAGTGTATTAGAGCTCTATAGTACTTTCATACACTGTCACTATGGGTTATTCTCCTACCATTACCTTTTTACCTTTACTTAAATGTAACCATACACATGAATATCCCTACCTCTGAATATTCACTTATACCCTAAACAAATCTTACCTACCTTTGAATAACTTTAACCCCTAAGTAACACTACAGTACTCTTGAATTTACCTTGAGTGAATCCAACATTGAATATCCATATCTCTGAATAACCTTACATATAAAGATCTTATACTAACCCTAAATAAACCTATTCCTAAGTGTCCCTACTCCTAAATGTATTTGTCCTTATAAACCTACCCCTAGATAGCCCTACTATTTCCCCTGAATAAATCCTCATGGATTAATGTACCCCTGAATAACCCTGTATCCCTGAATAATCCTATCTCGTTATGTCTCTACTACTACTGGGCTGAACAATAATCTCGCATTGAATAATGTAATGGATCAGCACTAATGAAGGTCATGAACACACATGATTAGAAAAACATGTTTACACTGTACTCCATTTCCAATATTTCTTTTCGTAAAGTCTATGTCCCTAGCAGAGTTCTGTACATAACAAGAAAATCAAACTTGTAAAGAAAACAACTGCATAGCATCAGTATGAATAGCCCTTAAAGCCATGCTTCGGAAGAAAACAACTGTTTGATATGTTGTACAACTGAATGTTGTAAGATGCAAAAGGGGTGTTTGACAGAAAAATCAAGAACAGTTAATGAGAGAGGGGGAAGGAAGGGGGAGTAACCACCCTTTTTTCCACCTATTCCCATCAATTCACAACGGAAATAGTGTAAGATGACTTTTAAAGCTTCTAAAATCCATGCATAATTTAATCAAAAATTGCTTTTGTCCTTGACTGTGTCATTTCACATTCAAGATTATTTTGATAATGCTGATATCTTTATAATCAGAAAATGCTGACTTGTAGCTTGATCAAGTAATGACGACCTGTAGACCCTCAGGTGTCCAACTATAATTTTGCTAAGTATGCAAAGTAGTTACCTTCCGCAAAGATTTTACTGTGAACCTTAATGAGTTGTTTTGAAAGCTAACAAGGCTGCTTGCCGTCTTCAATTACCAGCGCATCCCTTCCAGGTGTAGTCACTGATTTGCATAGATTATGTAAATATCTAATCTCTTGTGGCTTCACTTTTTATTTTCTTCACACTTTTCCGCTGAACCTGAGACGATGCACAAATGCCTACCATAAACTAAAATGATTAACTTTACAATACTCATTCCCAATTAAATCATAAAGGAGTATCTTATTATATTATTATTTGCATTACCATTATTATTATTATAGAGGGTGTTGCCTTTATACAATTTTATCATACAAGATCTCCATTCATGTCAAAGTAAATTTTTGCCACAAATGTTGCTTATAACAAAAATATTCAAGAGCAGACAGTAAGGTCATTGATGCCTAACCTGGCTACACGCAGTAGAGGCATTCAATGGAAGTTATCTCAATGGCGAAACCTTAGTAGGAGGTGTGGGCTTTACAAACGCTGATTGTACTCCATAATGTGAATAGGAAATAGATTCTGCTGCGAAGTTCAAGATCAGTGGCTTATAATGTGTATTCAACTACAAGTATCTGTGTGGGTGATTAAATTATGCTTTTTGAAGCAGCTTCATTGGTTGATCATGATTATACAATTTCACACAAGTCAGCAGAACATGGGCATTCATAGTTAGTAAAGATAGGCATACTATGTGGTATAATGTCTAATGCAGACAGATATACCGTATATATAACTCTACTATTCTTGAATCATGCTTGAACAAAACAGTTTGATCAGTGTAATTTAAAGCTTTTTCAGATTTGACCATTCCCCAGAGTACTACTGTATTCACACTATAGACTTAATGTCTTTATAATTATGATGACCCGTTAATGGCATTAAAATATTTAGTCGCATTAAGTCTATGTCAACTATTTATAAATTCAGATTCGAAAATTTGTTAGAAACTTTAATTTAATGTAATTAGCAATAACATAAATTTCATGGTAAAATTTCTAATTGAGGACATGATTTTGATACAATTTATATTTGCCTCAAGTAAATTATTTTATTGGCTAATTTTTATAATCCACTATATTCAATTGATGGCATATAAAACCATAAACATCTGACTGAAAATTTAATAAGTGTACAATGTTCATCTGTCTATGCAGAAGACAATATTTAGGCTTATATAATCGGCTACCCAGTGGGATGTGTGCACTTCAAGAGAAACAGTGTTTGCTGTAGTGATGTAGGGCAACATTTGGTAGGAGGGCACTATATGAATTGATTCTTGGAAGAGTATACCTACTGTATGTTAATAACTAGAATTTGCTATCATAGTATCATTAAAGTTAGAGTTGGAGTGTACACCCTGCCTAAACATCACATGTGTAAATAAAACGAAAGTTTTACTAGCTAGGTTACCTATACTGTACACTTCCTAATTACCTTGCATTGAAACCGCAGCATCAGCACAGGTCTGGTTCATCATATCTATGTCATCTGATTATGTTGTTTTTTTTATATCCTTGCTGAATATTAGTGATATGATTGTTTTTAAAGTTGATAACACTGATCAAATTATTTATTTAATAGAATTTATAGACTTGTGTTTCTATAATTGCAAATAAATTAATAATAATTAATATAATTCATTAGCAGTTATACACTGTAAATGAAGAATGATATTCTGCAAATAAATGATGTTCCAGGTACCCAGTATTCTACATTAGCAAAATGCCATCAGTTGGTAATGATTATATAGAAGAATAGTAACTTAAGTATTGATTGATATTTGATCCATGGAACTATAACTAAGAGTGCTCCTTGGTTCATGCTGAATATTAATGAGCGTAGTTTGCCATTTAAAGCTCAATTTTTACACTTGCACTTTATAAGTCTATTTTCTAAAAAAGAAGTTGAAGGTTATGTGGTTATATATGATTAAACATTTATGCAATGAAATTAGTTTTATTTGCATAGATTCCCTATGGTGTAGAGATCTTTACACGTAATGTTTATGTATTCACAGTAAAGCATGGTAATGATATGTAGTGAGATGTTACAGTATATTATGAAATAGCGCCATCTATAGAGTGACTAGTTGTTAGGGTAATAGGGGTCTGTCAAAATACAGTAAGTAATCTATAAGTGTATATTGAATACATCCTACAGATACAATTATAATAACAGTTGTTGTGTGTCTTATGTTACTATACATACATAGTAAGCATGCTATATTATTATTACTGTAAATACCGTACCTGGAATTTTGAGGCAGTTAATTCAACCATCAATACCACAAGCTTAAGGTACTTTAGTTATGCATAATATAGGATAAATCAAAATGAATTAAGTGAAAACAAAAATATAATTTTAGGTTGTTTATGATTGTATTTTCCAGCTGAATTAGGTGATTATGATCCGAACGAACATCCAACTGGATATGTGTCGGCATTTAGGTTTATTCCAGGGCAAGGACAGACGGAAAAATTCAACAAGGAAGTGGAACGACTACACAAAACACACTAGTAAGTTATCCCGCTGGTCTGACCAGTGCTTCAGCTCTGTTAAAACTATTAAATTCTATGTGACAAATAAATGTGGTGCCCATATTTGGGTGTCATGACATTATGCCCATATATGGGCACATCACACAACTTGTCATAGAGCTTGAGAAGTCTTTATGTAGTATCAAGTGCGAAATACACAATTTTATCCATAAGGGGAGAATTTTTGTGTATCTTGTTTAGTGAACCCACCGACTGCAAATACTGATGATTTCGAATAAAAAGAAAATTTTATTTTTTGACAATTAGCGCGCCCGCCACCACAAAAAGGTGGATATTTCAGTAAAAAAATAAAAGTGTTTATTTTTATTACGCCCTCCGCTGCCTTGAAATCTCCAAAGATAAGATATGTATATTTCTTCCTAATTATATAAATTGAAAGCATTTAACCATCCTATTTTATATTCACCAATAAAATTTTATTCATCTCAATGATGTTTTTGGAAAAACTATTTGCTAAATAAGAAAACAAAATTTTATGCTTTCCATGTATTTTATTAGTATGTAAAATGTGTATGACATCGCAAAATGAGTCTTATGGTACCAAACAAGATTTATAAATATATTCAGCATACTTTGGAGAAAATCACCTCTAAATATAAAACAACTTTTACATTTCTTGTTTAGTTGTTTTTCTTATCAATTTTGAAAAGAAAAAGGAAACAGCCATAGAAAATATGCCTCAAAAACACCTTTAACATATTGTTAGCTGTCATAAATTTAAAAGTTATAAACTTAAAAAACCTGAAATCCCATTTCGGTCAAAATATGACTTTGTACATATTTTCTTAAATATATCAAATTTACCTGGCATTTAACACAACTCAATTTGTCAGTATATAGTATTTTTGTGAAGTTATTAGATTTAAAAATATGTTTTTTTTTGTTTTTTTTTTTAGTGGACAGTCACCAGCTGACTCGGAGTACAATTTTCTAAATAAAGTGAAAAATTTAGAACTTTATGGTGTAGATCTCCACTATGCCAAGGTAATGGTAAGGCCCACATTTAGCTTATATGCATGCACCACCTAGCCTTTTCCTTGCCTTCCTGGCTCTTCCTTGCAATATTATGTGTACCGTCTTAAGTGTCGCTGCCTGCCTAGCAGTGGTGTTGTTTGCGTACTTGCCTGCCTACATAATTGCATCAATTTTCCTACCTAACTGATTGCCAATGTTCTTATCTTTACCCTATCTGTAAAATTATCTCTATTCCAAATATACAATTTAATAAAATATTTAAAAAAAAAAAATTATGTAGTAATAACAAGATAGTATAATATTAATACATACTCCTAGTATCAAAATGCATGTCATCTTGTTTGGGTTCAATATTTCAACATTAATTATGTCATCATAAGGAATGATTATTAATTATGTCATCATCAGGAATTTTTTATTCCTGATGATGACATAATTAATGTTGAAATATGGAATCCCGACACGATAGCGTGCATTCCGATGCTTGGAGTATGTATTATACTATCTTACCAGAGATTAATTAGTGAACCTTTCTTTTAGTAATAACAACAATATAATAACAAAGAAATATCAATTTGAATATTCTATAGACCATTTTTGCAAAATTTGAAATGAAAATTTCCAATTACCTGGTAACAACCACTGGGGGACTTTAAGAGGCCTAGCATTTCACTCTATGTAGTTACCATCATGGATTTAAATCAACGATAAAAACAAGATTACTAATAAGCACAAATATTTTAAAACGGAAAAAACTTGAAATGTTTATATTAAGAACAAGTCTAAGTCTAAAAAGCTATTTCAATGTTTACATATACAGCAATTACAGTAATTAGCAAGATTGTATCTGTTGTCTACTGCTGCTATAGCAAAGGTCTAGCGGCACTATCCATGGCGCGGTGCTCTATTTGCAACTCCAGCTGCTCAGGCTAGGTCGCTGAAAGTCCCCCAGTGAGTTGGCGAGATGTTGGCAGTGCTGTTTTAAAATAAATCCGATAAAATGGCCTATACAGTACTACTTGACTACATACTGCTGATACCTTTCTGTTCACTTCTCTGTCCACCACATCACAACCTGATATGTAGCATAAAATCTATAGCGCCCTCTACAGTATATTTCATATATTGGTCTTGTAATGTCCAACTGCTGCAATGTATAAATGTATTATAATGGTATAAATGTACTTTGTGTTTCATAAATACATTTAATGATATGTTAATTAAATGCTAAATTCTGAGGGTTTTTAAAATTCCCTTTAAAGACTAAACTTTTTGCAAAAAGAAAAAAAATTATCCCAGTAATTATGAAGATGACTAACAGTGCAACTACACACTCCTACCCCAAACCTATAATGTTAACTGTACTTAAAATGCAAAATTAAGCTTGACTCTTTATTGTGTTGTTCCCAGCAAGCAACTTAAAGGTTATGGAACAGAGGAATGATATAAAGATGTTGGATTAAAATATTTTGTTTTGTTAGGGAATATGATAAAATATGTTAATGATGCTTTGGACTCTCATGACAGGATCATTCTGGGATAGAAATTCAAATTGGAATAACAGCCTCTGGAATCATTGTGTTTCAAAACAGCACAAAGATTAACACGTTTTCTTGGGCGAAAATTGTCAAAATTTCCTTCAAGCGCAAGCAGTTCTTCATTCAATTACGAAGAGAAGTCGTAAGTTGGTTTCAAATTTTTTTTTATCTGCTTACGTTCTGTTTTAGCTAGCATATTGTTGGGTTCTGTTATATTCTGCCATCCCAAATTCAGCAAACTGTCACTAATTGTTAATCTGAGTATTCAGTATTAGAATGTGGTCATATTGTGTACTTCAGTACAAAGAAGCCGTAATGCTTTAACTCATAACTTTTGCAATAGTAAGTCGATTCCAGTAAATTACCTATCATTTTTAACCTTATATTGTGGTGATTATGAAGATATGACTATGTTAAAGTGTTTTCTTGTTTTAGTCACTAATGCTGGACATGGCAAGCCCACTATGACTATTTTAATGTTTATTTTATATTTAGATACATGTTGTTCCTTTTGTTTATTTTACATTATATATTTTCCTGTTAAATATTGGTAAGTGTATATTTGCTTGTAGATGAACAAGGAACACACTTTGTCCCATCCTTTCACCTATTCTATGTCCTGACAGGTTCATTTTGGAATTTCCAAAATATAATGTTCTTTTGAAGAATTATGTAGTATTTTTATACATAGTACACTTAATAGATTTTTATAATACTAAATCCATTCCAAGGAAATACTTAAGGTACTTAAGGAAAAGGAAAAACAGTTGTGTGCTATCTTTTTGATTTATTTTTATTATATTTATATCTTTGGTATTTATAGCATCTTCAGCCATAGTAAAAGATAATACATTTAAGATAGAGCAGTTAGCAATATAGTGAAACGTCGTTGAGGGCGTCCATGAAGCAATTTTCCTCAATCCTAGAGGTAGCGCTATATGTTTATAATCAGATAAATCCAAGGCACCGCTCGAGTTTGTTTGTTTCCTTATTTCTCCACTCTGTCAAGTAGAAATACCCGGAACTCGTAACAGGTATTCATTTGTATTGTGATCAGCTGGTTAAAAAATGTGCAATACGCCGTTAATTTGTAATTATTAAGTCAGTCTTTTACATTAGCCTAACATTTATACAGTATATTCACTCATTTTCTTTTTTTTCTTTTTTTAACTTGTATATTGTTTTAAATATAGTTACATACTTTTTTTATGTTTGTTGTAAACTTAATTTATTGTCTTGTGCCAATAGAAAGTAAATTCTTAAAGTAATTTTTGGACCAATAAAAATTATCTTATCTTAACCTCCAATGAGACACAGATCAAACCAAATCAGTTGATTTTCCAAACATTTTACTACGAAAGTCGAAAAAAGTTGGTACAGGTACCAGCAAAATTCTGTATAATAAAATATATATATATATAGACAAATAGACCGCTGTATAAATACTGGTTTATTATTATAAATTCTATAATGTTATTCTTCATGTTTATTAGCTCAATGTAGAGATTTTATTACAGCCATTTGTAATAATATATAAAAAGCCTTTTTCCAGTGTGGCTTTTACCGATGGTCAGTGTATGCGTGGTCAAGGTCGCAATGCACTTTGTACGTTTTATGTAATCGTATTAAGCGAATCAACATATGATAATACTACAGTAATCCATCTTTCTTGGAAATGTCTAGAATTCATTTTGTAAATCAATAATGATGTAGATAAATATTGGATTATGGGAAGATTGAATTGTTGTGTTGATATAATGTACAGTACCATAGCATTGTGATCTGTTGTGATAAAATGAGTTGTGTGGCACAAAAATATTAAAAATGAGTTTTGTGGTACAAAAAATAAAAAATGAGTTATTGATATATATAGATAGATGACTATTATAAGCTTTATTTTGGTCTTGGTAACAAGTTTCTAGGTTGAGTAAAACCGTAGTAAGATCATTCTGAAGTTCAGATGTCTAAAAACATACATTACTTAGGACAAAATCGCTTCTTAAGATAAACAACTGACAAATTTTGTGTTGGTTTTCCCATATCAATTTTGAAAAATAGCTTTAAAAAAATGTGCTTTAAAACATGATTATCTTAGGTAACTCAACTCAGAACTTTTGCTACTAAGGAAATATACATATTAAACTTTATATCAAAAAATTTGAAACCAAATTTTTGTCAAAATATCACTTCAGATATATGTTCTTAAATATCTCAAATTGACCTGGCGTACCACAAGACTCATTTTGTCACGACAACTCACATATAGTATATCTATAGCCGTTATAGTATATTATAGGGAATATAAATAATTATAATAACAGAATAATAAATAATTATAATAACAGTAATAAAAGTAAAGGCATATAACCAACTGTTTTTCTGATGCCCTCATACTTAGACTCAAACCAAGAGGAAAATGTTTTTTTTTATATTTTCAACCTTTCCTCAAACCCTACCGTCTCCCAGCTTGGAAGTATATCCTAGATTTATCACTGCCAGACCCTAGTAAATTTGAACCAAATTCTTCCAAGGGTCTCAAATTATCTTTGTGAGCCTTAATAAAACCCTAGTATTTCTGCTTCATAATTCTTCCAAGGGCATCCCTCCCAGTTTACCTTCTGGCCTGAAATATGCCCTATCAATTCTGTGAAACGTGTATCGCTATCAGAATACATATAATCCATATTGCAATTATGACATTTCATTACACAACTTTATCTTATCTTTTGTGGATGGTGCAGTTTCTGTCGGGTCCTTTGTGAAAAAAACGGCTCATTCATGTGGCACCTTGGGTAAATATTCGTGTGCGGCTCATATCAAATTCTTTTCATCCAGTGTATTCAAGTGAGAATGCGCTGAGCCATGTCACTACGAAGGTCATGACGGAATACAAACCCATCATTATTTAAAGGAAAATGTTTGATACGCTTCAGTGGATTCTTTTCTTTACTTAATTTACCCTTTATGAAATTAATTTAATTTTCATTAAAGGTGTACTATCTCCCATGAAGTATAATAAAACATTAATTAATTAATGAAATTAATAACTGAGGGATTACAAATGTTGCCGGTGTTAACATATTGTAAAATTTAAAAAATCAGATTTACAAACATAATTTAACAAAAGAATAAAAAATTATCTTTAATATTCATGGTTGGTTTGTCATGACAAAAGTAGTTTACTGTACTGTTACAGAATAGTATGGCCACAAATGAATAAAAAATCAACAATACATTTCAAAACGTTATCTTAATGCAAACTTCAAGATGAATGGAGTATCTCATTATTATTTAAGGGGCTAAGCGACCTGTCTCTTATACACGGGGCGCTACCTTGCCAAATAAGGTGATTTTTAACTACTTGCAAGTGATTTTTGGGGGATAGATACCCGACTGCGAACAATACCTCTCCAGGGAGGTACAAAAACTGTCAGCCAAATGTTCAGCTCAAAAGAAGCAGTAGCATTGATGGGGACTTGTATTTACATATATTGATACACAAGCTTTGGTGTACATTCACTGTGCTTCAGGAGGCTTCCCAATATTTGCTCTGTCCACCTTGTATTTATTATAGTAGAAATTTGTAAAGCACCTCTGTTGAGCATAGATGCCCTCATGGAACCAAGACCAAACAAAACAAATTTATTACAGGACAAAAAAAAATATATTTGTGCTGGTCAAACATGTGTTTATTTAGCCTAGGCTTAAATGTTGTAACATTTTACTGCAGATCAAATATAGCATGGCGGTATAAAAATATTTATAATATATTATAATGAAATATTTTTATATCTGCAAGAATACAGTAGATGCTGGCAGCAATAGATTATTGGCCCAGTTAGTTTGGTGTTCTGATTATTTGGAGGCAATCTGGTTTAAGTGCTTTTACTTAAGCACTAGGCTCAATTAGGATTAACCTCTGTATGGATGGTGAAATGGGTTTTGGATGTTGGTAGAGGAACACAAGCAGATCATTTAATTGTAACGTCTACCAAGGAGACGGGTTTAATTGTTGTTGGCATGCAGTGCAACTGGAAGGATTTTTGTCATCGTTAAAATTCAGGTATTTCAAATGAGATCCTTCATTAGACAATCACAAAAGGCTGGCTCTAGGCCATTAACTGCTGCATAGCTCAGTCAGTCAGTTATGCCATCGTGGATGCCAGTAGTTGAACTAGTCTATTGTGACATCTAGCTGTGCTGTTCACAGCTTAGCGAGTGTGTAGTTGTACTAGCTGATGTATTTCAGCTACAACAGGCCTAGATGTCATTCTGCTAATATAATCCAGTATTACTACTAGTCATAATATAGCTTTGTACTTTGGAGATGTTCATGAGAATAAATAAGGTATGTTTGAACAATTGGGGCATGCCATCCCAAACACCAGCATCAATGATCAAAAAATTAAAAATCTACTTTTTCAATTTATTCATATTTTTCACATTATATAAGCTTTAAAATGATGGGTTATTTACTGGAATTAACATACTATTGCCAAAGTTATGAGAAAAAGTAATATGGCCACATTTATGCTAAATACTCAGTTTAACATATCGAGACAGTTCACTGGTTTGGGAAGGCATGCCACAAATACAACTTTGGTATGAAAAAACACCTTCACTGTGTCCTAATGGGAAGTCCAAGTGTGTACACCACTTAGCCTCATGGCTTAGTAGTGTATCCGAATGTTTGAATCCCGATAGGTGCAAGGTACAAAGGTTTAATCATGTTTACTACATCCAGGTCTTTGTTTTACTTGCTCCTTATATTTTCATTAAGGTCCTTTTCATCTTCTATCTATATTTTAAAAGTTTGCAAAATAAAGTACTGACATTTTTCGCTCAAATATTTATCAAGGTATGTGTTAGTAACTAAGGAATTACATATTAGTAGTAAGTACATAATGCAGAATAGAGGCCTTGCTCGTTAATGTTATTACCGTACATGTGTTATCAGACAAGCATCAATTTTGTTATCAAAATATAGTATGGTAAACAGTACCTTTCACATTTTTTCTTGGATAAATAGATGTTCGAGAAAAACACACCCTCTCTACAGCCTCATCAAACCAAACATTCTCTGATTACTTTTCGGTAGTGTACACTTACTTTAGATTTTTGCATAAGAACATGATTTTTGTA